AAGTAGAATAATAATAATATTTAAAACATTAAACAAATTAATAATCTAAAATTTTCGAAAATAAATCTTTTGGCAGATAATCTTTTCATAATCTGCCGAAAGTGACTAAAAACGTTTCAAAGAAACCAATATTTTAACTTTAGTATTTTCATTTTGCCATTTAGGACAAATTTTCTTCTTGAACTCTTGGATAAAATTTCAACTGGCCCGATTTATCTGGGGACTTATATTTATAGATATGCAAATATTTTTCATATAAAAACATTTTTCAGAAGTTTTTAGAAATCTTTTTCCATTAATAAATATTCAAAAATAAATAATTAAAATATCGATTTTTAAAAATTATAATCCGATAAGAAACTGATGCTTTGTAGATTTTAAATATCTTGATATATGGCTAACGTAATCTTTGTTGTCAAAAATATGCACACATATTTAATAGAAGAATATTTTAAAGTCACTTGCATGTGTATCTAGTCTATAAGACGATGCCTGGTTTGTAGTGATATTTGCATAAATATTATTTTATCCACTGAGATATACGGTAAATGTTTGAATCAAAGCTTCAAGATTTATTTGTATATAATTTTTGATAATCAATTTGAAAGTTGTTAGTGATAGAATACAATGGCCTGGGCAAAAGGGCTAAAATTTACCCATGCCAAGATGATTAATAAAGGATAATAATGACAAGGAAAATTACGGGTAATTTTAACAAAACAAAATATTCACGAATTTATACTCTTAAAGTTCTGTCAGAATTCTTAAAAGTCCGTAGTTTTAACGTATTGTCATGAAGAGGAAATGTTCATACAACAGATTAAATGATCTGACACAAAATAATATTCAAAAATATTTAAGACACAAGTAAAAGAGTTCGCTGCTCATCGAATGGATGGTTTGCTTGCGTTCAAAGGTAGACGAAGAGAGATAATTTGAAATACTTAGCTTTCTTGGATTGTTGAGAGAAAAATCTTTGAAGTGCCTCGTGCTGGTTATAGGCTGGTTAGAGGCCGATAATATAATTAATGAGTAATTTTACACTGGCGATTACTTCAACGCTGGTCGCGAGAAACTGAAACGAATTCTTTCATATGACTTCAGACACTTTTCACATTAATGTAATTTTTCTCCTCATTTTATATTGAAAGGAATTTCGCGTAGGCTCGTTACTTTCTTTCCCCCGTCTCCTCCTCCTCCTCCTCCTTCTTCTTCTTCTTAGTTCACCGACTAATTTCTGTGAAGGCTAGGTTTTCATTGGTCAAGAAACAAAAAAACAAAAAAAACGAAGCTCGTAAATTTCTTTCCTTTTTCTTCCTCAGTTCTCCGAATTTGAAAGGAGTGAGTAAAGGGAATTATCATTATTTTGTACTCACTACAAGAATAGACAGGAGAAATCTCAGTGGAAACAACGGGAGTCTCAAAATACAATAAAATCTACAAAGTGCTGAATGAGACTAATTTGAATAACATTTTTACCCGAAATGCTTAACTAGTGTTCAGTGCAGTGAATGTCCAATTAGTCAAGAATTCTGACCTCCGATAGATACCGAGCTTTTTTTTTTTTTTTTTTTTACTAATGGTAGGTCGGAATTTGAAACAGAACAAGATTTGGCGCGCGCTATGTTTTGAATGATGGCTAATGCTGAAAGCATTGTTTCCAATAGCAACGCTAGTTATAAAACAAGGGGGTGAAGTGAAGTGGGCGGGGGGTGCTGTTCAGAGGCCGATGATGTCAGTGCCAGCACAAAGTTACAAGACCTCGTGACCGAGGGTTTCAGCGTATTGGCCTTGTTGAAATTGCTGATCACGCCAGATTATGCACTTCTCTCCCAGATTCGCACAGTATAGCTGAAGTATAAACCACAGGTGGGAACTTGGGTATTGTACAAACGCAAATGTGCCTGAGCTAGTGTCTGCAACAGGGATTGTCTAGCCAGATTAGCGAACCGGTGTGTTCAGAAAACGAGCAGCCGGTCATATTTTGCGCTGGTTATATTTTTTGAAGCAAATGTCCTTTACTAATGACATCTAAAGTGACATATGACCTTCTTAGAATCCTAGTAATTTTCTTGATATCTTTGCTGCTTTATGTTGGCCGACATATTGCATAGAGTCACTTTTTTTTTCTTTTTTCTTTCGTTTTTTTTTTTTATAGAGATTCCAGTTTCGTTTCCATGCAGGACCAAAATTAATTTTGATCCTAATTCTAATATTTATGATTCCCAAATTCTGGATCCGTTTTTTGTCGAGTTCTTTTGGCCTTTTGTAGATTTTTCAGGTGCCTTCCTCAATTTCAGGTTGCATACAATAAAACATCCTCAAATTCAGATCTCATCTTAAATTAGAAAGGAACCCACATCCTCATCTTTTGCCTAGTATCAATAAATTACTTACTTTTTTTTTTCGTGAACATCATGATTCCTATTTATTTTTTTGCTTGCGCTGTCAGCATTTTTTGTTACCCCAGACACAAATGACTTACAATAAAAGTAAAACGAAGTTGGATATATCTCATAGTAAGTAAAATAGTAAGTTGTAAGACTAGTGTAACTCGTATAGTAATAGTAGTAATAGAATTTCTCGTAGGAGTTGCCGAAGTAATTACTACAAGAGCGGATATTTGTTATCCCCCAGTAACACAAACAGTAGTAGTCACAGTGATGCGAATTTTCTGAAGAGGCAGAGAGTTCCCCCCACCGCACTCTTGATTTTTGCTCTACAAACTGAAGGCGCGATGCCAGTAGTAAGTAGTAGCAGTAGTAGTACGAATATTAAGAAGCTTTTTTTCGCCCAGTTATAGCTTTGTTAGTCGTAGTAAAAGTAGTTTTATTAATTCTTGCAATAGTCGCCGTAGTGATCGTAGTAGTAGTGGTGGTGGTGGTGGTGGTGGTGTTAGCCTCCCCGGTGGAATAACGTAGGAAGAATTGGGACCTCAACTCAATGTACGGTCGGTCCAGTACCCCGAAGTTTTGGCCAATTTGTCTGTCTGTCTGTCTGCCACGCTAACGCTGTCAGAAAAAAGTTTGAGAAAGAAAAGAAAAAAAAAAGGAAGTCTTTAAAAAAAAAAAGAAAAAAGAAAAAAAAAATCGAAAAAGAAAGAACCTTGAAACACAGCAAAGATTTTATCAGCGACGATTTCAAGCAATAAAGAAAAAAAAACGAATTTGAAGAAGTAAAAAGGTAACGGAGAAGAGGGTAAAGACAAAAAAACAAACAAACAAAAAAAAACAAACAAAAAACAAAACAACAACAAAACAACAACAAAACAAAACAACCCCACAAAAAAATTGCAAAGGTGATCAGAGAAAATTCCTTTTTGTGCAATTAAAGAGAAAATTTTATTTTGTATTTCTCTTTTAAAGCAAAATCATTAAAAAAAATATGAAGGAAATCTCATTATTTTTCCTCAATTTATAATTATTTTTGACAGCAGAATCGGCAGTAAAGGATTTCTTTAATTTCCTTGATGTGTACCAAAGATTCATCCAAACCGATTCCATTTGACAGTGGACCAAAATTTCGTTTCCCCAGGAAAAAAAAAATCTTATTTTAACGACAGACCCCACTTGTTTTTAAAAATTCTCAAGTACTATTAAAACAAAGAGCAGAGACTAACATCAGGTGAAGAACAGAAAAAGGAAAAAAATATCGACCTGAGTCTTAAAACAGACTTTGGAAAAATATATTACCCCCCAAAAAATAAATAAATAAAAAAATAAATAAAATAAAATAAATAAGAAAAAAAAGAAGGACTCAAGAGGTCTTGAACTGTGGATTATTTACCAAACTTCAAAATATATTCTTTCGAAAAACAAAACAAAACAAAAAATTAAATGAGATAAAATAAAGATAATAATAAAAAAAATATAACAACAAAAAACAAAGTAAAAACAAAACAACAGCAACCAAAAAAAAGGATCGTTACAAATGAAAGTGAACGAAAACAAAGTTGGTTCGTTCTTTTCCAGCTGTTTTTCGAAGAATTCGAATACATTGCTAAAAATTTCAATTTGAAATTAAAAAAAAGAAAAAGAAAAAAGAAAAAAAAAAGAAAAAGAAGAAAAAAAAAGAAAACTCAACTGTCCGTAAAAGTGTAAAACTGTGTGTGTACCCTTAACACACCCGATTGTCATGACCAGCTGGAGAATATTTTATACAATAATGATTGGCTGATTTACAAACCAAGGAAAGAAGTTCCTCTACACCTACCAGTGAATGTATGCACGTATTTTGTATAAAAGAAGAAAATTTTATGTGTTCCAGGTATAAATGCAATACAAGGGCACTTCAAACGATTAGCAAGCTTGTCTCGCTAGATTAATTACGACTGAGTAGTGAGTTTAATCCTCATTGGGCACTTCATACTTTCGGCCTTGTATCACATCTAAACTACGCTTAGTAAATTGATAATTGCAAAAAGAAAGAGGAGAACAAAAATAAAAGAGCCACCAATTAGGATACAACTTTTTTTGTCGGATAATCTAGTAGTCTTTTATGTATCTAGTAGTCTTTTATGTATCTAGTAGTCTTTTAAAAATCGAAAGTTCAAAATATTGACTTCATTTTGTTTGCTTCAGTCTCAGTCTATCTTTGTCGGCCTTTTAGCATGCTTTGTGCTAGGTGCTTTCTAGCGGCTTTCCCCATTCATCCATCCATTAACGAAACGAAATGATGCTCTTTCTCGCATCCCTTCAGCTACTTATCATCCCTTATTACTAAATTTATTATTTTTCTTTCAAACTACTCCACACACATTCCAAAACTTCTCAGAAAACAAAAAAACAAAAACTCATCCATTTTTTTCAGACTCCAGTTTTCTCTTCTCTCTTTTCAGCTGATTCTGGGGGTTACAAAACCCCCGATCCACCCTGCCTACTGCATCTTTGAGGGGGCGTCCGTTTCTAGTACCCTCGTTGTTCTCCACCCCATTCGTTCGACCAAGACCATCTACCTACCATTAGCGATAGGATATCCCCTCGTACACATTTCTTTATTCTTTACTGGGGATTTCCTCTCTCCTCTTTGTTCTGTCCAACTCCAGAGCAGCTACAGCAGGAGAGTGCGACAGCCAATGTCCCAACAGTGCATTCGACACTAGCTTTTGTAGGAACCCAGTCTCCCAGAGCGACCGTGGAAGGCTTAACTAAATACTGTTAGAAAAGAAGGAAAAGCACGATAAAGATATCATTTTTTTTTCAACTATAATCAAATGAAATGAGTGAATATTTTCATCGTTGTAGGATCGCATCGCAAACAATGAGTTTTATCAACAGTTTTTTGTTAAAGTACATTTCATTTACAATTCCGATATAAATAAGGCGACTTTTTTGTTCTAATCTTGAAAAGTTCTGATTTTAAACTTTTTTTTAAGAAAGTATTAAAATTATATTGCACTGTTACAGTATTTGCTACAAATACATTCGATTTTGCACAGATAAACTCAGATAACTCAACAATCGACACATACCCAGATAATAATCACATACACATACAGAAAAAGTAACTAAAACAGGACAAAAAAAAAATCACGCAATTCATTTACATGCATAATAACCGTATTGTTCTTATTTTATTTACTCAGCACAAGATCACAACAGTGGACACCCACTGAGGATCGAACTCACTATACAACAAATTAGCCTAAGCGATAAGTTTATTTGCCGCTTTACTAAGGTAATCTTATCTGAATCACTTTTCATTTAAGATCTATTGAGTCATACAAGGAGAGTCAACATTCAAAGTACCCCTATGCTAGGGTGTAATGTTTAATTTTCCAGTGGCATTTATTTAAGGGGGTTAACCATTTATCGGATTAGTTCAGCTTGAGTGGGACAGAGTCATTCTTCTGCTTACTCTCTCTCTCTCTCTCTTTCTCTCTCTCTCTCTCTCTCTCCATGTTTGGGTCGACGTGAGTCGATCTAGTCGGATAAGAAACCCGGAGATAAAACGAAACTAAAGGCCTTGAAAGTGGACACACACCATTTTAGAATTTCTCCGCAACTCTTTCCTTCTGTCGACTTCAGCAGCTCCTCATTCACAGTCTACCTTGAAAATTATTTATAGCGAAAAACAAAAACGGGGACCTCTACGATTCCAGTTTTTGGATCGTCTTTCAAAAATTGGGGTTTTCGAGTTCCCCTTTTCAGGATACAAAAACAAATAAATTCTTCATATTTAAAGAAAAGTTAAGTATTTTCAGAACAGCAAACAATTCGACTTGTTTTCTTCAATATATTGTTGCCTTTTAGCGCAGTAGTTTTAGCCACCAAGGAGCTTAAATCCGTCGAACAAAAGCATTCAACAATAAATCTAATTTTTTTCAGCCCAAATCAGTACTGAGTTCCAAACAGTAAGAAGAGAATAGACGGTATTTCCCAAGATTTCTTTGTTAGCGCAAGCATCCGCTACCCATCTTCCCAACCCAAACATTCATTGCATCACAAACAACAAAAACAAACAAAAACGTTCAGCGCTCTTACTGCAAAGATAAAAAGAACGAACTGTAAGTGAGCACGTATTGTTTTTTGTTTTTTTTGTTATTGTTATCTGGAAGAGAAAAAAAGTTTAATTACAAATCTTTCATAATAATAATAATAATAATAATAATATAAAATGCAACTGTGATTGGTCTAGATACCTTTTATTTGTTCTGCATTTCGTTTTTTGCCCCCCCCCTCCCAATTCTGTTCCTGATTCTTTCAAAGTGCCACCCTTTATCACAGGGCTTTCCGTTTTTCAGTGAGCGAGTCTAGTTTGAAATGAAACAATAACGAAAAAGGTTGACACACCCCGAAAAACATGTATGTCTGTTTAAATATCACAAACGGACGAAAATAACAGACAAAAGCATCAGAACGGAGTGAGCAAATGTGAGTGTGCGTGTGTGTGTGTGTGAGAGAGAGAGAGAGAGAGCGGGTGAGTGAGAGTGAGGGTCAGGGACTTGGAGAGAAAAAGAGGGGAGCTCAGAGCAGGAAAAAGAAGAGAGAAAGATAGAAAGAGTGAGAGCAAGTAAGGTAAGCATACTACAAAAGAGAATACCGTGTGTGTACGTGTGCGCCGGTGTGTGAGAGTATCACATAGATACACACACACGCACACACACACACACACACGCACACGCAGAGAAAGAGAGAGAGAAAGAGAGAGAGAGAGAGAAGCATAGCACGGGGAAACATAGAAAGAAAAGATAGACACAAATTAGTAAAGAGAAAGAGAGAGTGAGGAGAAGCAAAGGGTATTAAAATATATACACAGGTACAAAGTATTAAAGAGAAAGAAGCAAAGACTACTATAGAAGATAGAAAAAGAGAGAAAGAGACAAAGAGTGTTAAAAAGATAGAGAGAGTGGTACATAGTAGGAAAGAGAGAGGACCCTGGTTTGTTATAAACCAGTCAAATTCGAAGTTTCTAAAAAGTTTTCTTTCACTGACTGACAGACAGACACGTGGGGGCGTGACACTTATTTATTTTCGGCAATCACTCAAGGGTCATGGGTCAGCATTTAGTGCGAACCGAAATTCGTAAAGGACTTCGCTCGTACGAGCAGCATCGTTGCAACGAAGCCGTTCAGACGTGGATGAATGTTCTGGCCAAACTTAAACCTGGTTCTCAAAAGTTCGAGGTTCTTGGTTATCTCCTTCGAGCCCACGAAGACGCTGGGCGTTTCAAACAGATGCTGATGGGGTCTGTCGAACAACTGGACATGGTAACTGAGGCCAAGAGTCCGGGTCAAAGGAAAAAGCTGAAAAAGAGCGGCAATAAAAGACCAAGCTACGTGAACGCAACGGAAATGATCAGACGGCAAAGGAAACAGAAAAAGGGCAAAAAAGTAACAAAAACGATGAAGAAGAAAGAAGAACTTTACCGTAAACAATTAGCCGTCGCTTACCTGAACCTGGCAAGGAGTAACGCCAAACTCAGTGAGTTTCACAAAGCGGTCAATTACAGTCGCTATTGCATCCAAACAGAATTAATGGGAGATAGTGAGCGATCTTTGCAAGCATCGGGAACTTTAGCTCGAACATCAACTTTGGTTTCACCTCTAGCAACTAGTGTCACCCCATCTCATCACCCACTCCATGGTTACGCTTACTTAACCTTGGGACAGGCTTACTTCGGCTTGGGAGAATTCCCCAAGTCCTTACAACATTACGACATCGCTCTTGAATTAGCCAACGCTAGGTGTGACTCTACCTTAGCCTTACTCGCTTCTATTGGTTATGGTGATCTTTTCCTTTGTCTCGGGGACACGTTTTCGGCTCTCGGCTGGTACAAGCGTGCCTATGGACACTTAAAAACTCCGAAGATTTCGGAAACTCATAACGGACCAGAATTGTGTCCGGTCACCCAAGCGGCTGGCAGATATCAACGACTACTTAACCAAAGGGTCTCAGATTGCAATCGAAAAATGGGAAGGACTACTGAAGCTATGGAGCTATGTGAGGTAAGTCCACTAAATTTTGGGTCAAATCCTACTTTACTCACGTCGTATGTGTAAACTATTTCGAATTAAAATTATTAAATGTCTACATATTTCTAGTTTACATATAAAAGTGAACATTGAAGTCAACAATTAGAGGCGACAGGCTGTTTCATGCTAGACGCAATCGTCAGGCCACGAGTGTTCTGACGATTGCGTCTAGCATGAAACAGTCTGTCGCCTCTAATTGTTGACTGCAATGTTCACTTTTATGTTTACATACGCTCTATCTCTGATATTGAGTACTATATCCCATAAATATAGAACACCTTAAGACTATATTTCTTCATATTTCTAGTTTACTAAACCTTTATACACTTGACTCGATACGTATATCCAAATAAGACTACAATATTAATTATAAGGAGGGGAAGTTACTTTGTGAAAATGTTAGTATCTGAATTTTAAAAGCAGTTAAAATTATTTCAGGATATAGTCAAGAAGTATTGACCTTGTGCCTTAGTGTGTAAATTATTCTCTCATGTAGTTTGTAACATTACTTATTATTTCTCAGTTGTTTCTCTGTCTTCGGGCAGAGTGCGCTCAGGGGCGGCTCCATCAAAGGATATAGTCGCATCTGAGGAAAATTATACTGAAAGGTGCCGGGCCTGGCAACAGATAGGGATCGGTGCTCGAACCGGGGCCAGCGCAACTGACTGTTGCGGTGACTGCGGGCAATTTTTGTTCCTAGCCCAGGTGTATGCGCTCGAGCTTCCCACATTAAAGCGACCTTGTGTTACAACCTGACCTCGTGGGGGCTTGAGTAATTACAAATAAGTATTGACCTTGTGCCAAACTTTGTAAGCCCAGCAATGCCGTATTGCGTAACATTTGTCCTTGGACTAGGTAATCCAAAAATACTGGAAGCTTTTTTGCACACATTTAAATACGCTCACACATAAACGCGCGTGCGCAGACAAACACATGCACATGCACACACACAAACACACATTACGCGCCCCCCACACACACACACCAAAAAAAAATGCACACACATATATCTTTATTACAACGATCATTGTGCCGAGGTCTGGGTTACCTTACCTTACCCGTGGGCAAAATTGTGTGTCTCGTATCGGCCTCCACAAGCACATAAGGTAGCACAAACCGCAGTCAATGACCACCAACTTGATGTTCCGCATTGGTTACGGACATATGGCCGTTAATTGCATCGGAATAACCATCCGCTCTCGTCATTGATTTGAGTCTAGGAAGCCCTTCGCCTAATGATGTCATGTAATCACCGCAATGGCTCTCCCCATAGCTATAAAGTTCAGTCTACTCCTATGTTACTAGTTAGCCGTTGACCCCACAAGAAGGTCCATCCGCCCTTTGACAGGTCTTTTTTTTTTATTCTGCTGGGTGTCAAGCCAATTTGGTGTGGGAACTCATTCAATCATTGATTACTCGACAACGCGGCGGGTAGTGTTGGGTTACATCGTACCAGTAGAATTTGTAAAGTGACTTGACATAAAAAAAAACCCAAAGAGACTAATAAAAAACAAAAGACCATTAACTCAAAGTCACAAAAGATAAAACTTATATTTTTAACAGATATTTTTCGAACATTTATGAAACTCATATCAACTGATGAGTATTAACGACTGCCCTACTATGCATGATATTATAGAAGTAGAAGTAGTACTGAATATATATATATATATATATATATATATATATATATATATATATTTCAATTAAAGGTGCAAATTATAATTTATAAATTCATGAATAATTCATACAAAAAACAAATATAGAGGTTAATGATTTAAATGGCGAGAATAAGGAACAGACGAAAGCTTGTAAAAATTAAAAGACCTTATGCAACTGGAATTTATGAACAGGGATCATATCATTCATATACAGGTTCGGGGTTGATGTATCTCATTTATATAGTTTGCGAAGATGTATTCTCGCCATTTAAATCATTAACCTCTATATTTGTTTTTTGTATGAATGATTCATGAATTTATATATATATATATATATATATATATATATATATATATATATATATATAATTGTGTATTTAGGCAGCAATCCTTCATTTATGTTTCATTAAAGACGACAGACAAGGTACGACGATTAAGTTTTTATTTAATTTTTCTTGTGTTCGAACAACTGTTTTCTTTTTTGGACACACAGTATGTAGAAACAGTCAAAAGCACCTTATAGACCACCAAATTAGACTATTTCTTTCCAAAGTAAATAACAATGATAGTGAACACGCAGTCAAAAATAACAAATATTTTCTACAAAAACCAAATGCATGTCAACTATAAACAAGATGAATCTTCACTTAGAAATATCATAAAGAAATACGCTACCCCAATTGACACGAACAAAAAAAAATCAAATTAATTATGTACTACAAAAAAATTTAAAGCAGCCAACCTCATCCTCAAAGATAACACACTAGCAAAATCAAAATTACAACAAACGAACTTATCTATGAGTTCAAATGCTCATAAAGGAACTGCTGCTGATCAAACCAAGCTCATAAATAATTACATCGGTCACACGACTACATGCTTATCCAGACGCCTTACATTACACCTATCTGACCACAGTTCTATTAGAATCCATTTAAACACACACACACAAACTTACCAGACTCCATCCGAAACATACTAACAGAAAATACAAACATAATAACACCATTCACTTGAAAAAAAATAATAAAAAAGAAAAAGCCAATTCTTAATATTAACTATTAACTCGGCCATAATGTTCTGTGTTCGGAAAATAAAACATCTCTATAACTCTAAAACATACACACAACCGATACACCCAATTGAAACGCAAAAATAAAATAATCCTTGAAAATGGCTAAAAGTAGAGCCGAAAGAGCTCGAAATTATAGAACACTTGAATAGTTTCTACATACTGTGTGTCCAAAAAAGAAAACACTTGTTTGAACACAAGAAAAAATAAATAAAAAGCTTAATCGTAGGACCTTGTCTGTCATCTTTAATGAAGCATAATATATAATTAACCTCCAAGCTTAACAGAAGAATCGTGATGAAATCGATCATAAACGAAAATGACACGTTCATCATTAATTAATCATAGCTAATGTTTGGAAACTCATAAATGATTGAAATTAAGTTTATATATATATATATATATATATATATATATATATATATATATATATATATATATATATATATATATGGAGCTGACACAAAACTATGTTAAACTGTTCTCTTACGACAAATTGTGTCAAGATGGCTAAACGTCTTATTTGAAAACCCGGAAAAAAAATTCAATTAGGTTAGTGATTTTTTTTTAGATATTAAACATTTTGTAGGATGGACAATTATGCTGTTACACGATTTGGACAATTTTGCTGTTACACCCAGTAAATATATATATATATATATATATATATATATATATATATATATATATGTGTGTGTGTGCGTGTGTGTGTGTGTTGCAAGGTCCGCTGGCGAGAGAACAGTTAGATAAGGGCTACAGGAAAGTAGTACGCCCATGGCTAAGATACAAAGACAAGCTGAAAAGCAACTTGTCAGCAGTCAATATACCACATAACACCCTTGAGCGCTTAGCTTTGGAGCGAGTAGAATGGAGTGTTTTAGTGGACTTAGCAATTTTCAATCTGCTTGTCTGAATCATCTTCAAGAATCGAGAGCAAGATCTAAAAGGTCAGCCAATCTAACAGTGATCTCATCACACAATCCTCACACTTGCTCCATATGTGGCCTTCTTTGTAAATCACTAACAGGTCTTAAATGACACTTAAGATTATCGCACAAACTTTCATAACTGAATCAATAAGCTGTCAGATCCTCATCCGTCGAAACCGACGGGAGAGTTCATTATATATATATATATATATACTATATTCCTTGGTTCCGCCAATTCTAACCTTCACGACAAAGACTCGCCATGCCACTCACATTGTAACAAACCCCACCCACATTCCCTCCGTATTTCATCGGTGAGAAGTAAGTTTCACTCGAACAACTTCTTCCCGCGAACCACTGCTCTGTGGGACCGACTCCAAACAAGATGTTTCCCCGATCATTACAATTTTAACCTGTCTAGGGTTAACCGTTATCTTCCTTTCTTATCCGTACAAACTGCATCCCAATGTAACGTTACGACCATGACAACTATGTTCCAATTTCGCCATGGAAGATTGGTTAAAGAGGCGATTTCTTGATATCATTATCCTGGGGGAAAAGATTCCAATGTGGGAAGTGCATGAAAACCATACCAAAAGGAGTTGACCC